TTACCGATTTTCACCAATCTCAATAAGCCAAATTTCCAAATTAATAACAACTCCAACATCTGTAAATTATAAACCTCACATTTCTCATTGATTTCTTCTTCGTATTTTACCTTACAAAACATTCGAATTACTTAGAAAGAAAAAAAAAACAATTTACCCAGAACAGCACATTCAATCTCAACCGAAGCATTATTTTGATGAAGAAAATATGTATGAGAATAAATATGAGAAGAATTCATCTACTTTGCTTTATTTATCAAGCAAAAAGAAAAAAACAAAAATCTACACATTTCTATGCGAATTGAAATTCCATATGAATTGACATGAATTCCAACTCATTAATTCTACTCAACTGAAATATGTACGTGACATTGTTTTCGTAACATTTTTGTTTTTGGCAAAAACAGAAAAATAAAATGGAATTTTGTGCATGTTTGATTGCAACTATTTGATGGAAATATTTTTCGCCTTTTGACAGCATTAATTAAAGGTTATATGGAAATAATAAAGAATACATTAAATACATTGATAAGGAAGTTTATATTTATAAATTTTTGAATTTAAATTAAAAACAGACAAATACAACGAATACGTCCATTGAATGCCTTACACATTTGATTACAGTTAATCATCTGTTAAATACATTCTGTGAATGTTTTTCAAATTATCGAAAAGCTCAACATATGGAATAGAGCTCATATTTTGATTGCAACCATACATGGCGTATACGTAATTTGATATACATGAAATATTGATATACATCAATCATTCGCATATAAAAGTGATTTGATTAAACTAACATTTCGTGTCGTGGTATCATAGGTTGTGACAAAAATTTATGCAATTATGAACAGATTTATGGGGTAATGAAGGCATTTTAAAACTATATAAAATATATGTGCAGTAATATGTCTGAGAAGAGGGTTTCGAAAAAGTTACAACATAACTTTTACCTAGCATCTATGCAAAAACGAGTAAGGAAAGTAGTAAAGTCGGAATGGACCGACTATATGATACCACTTTGCGTATATTCAACATATGTATCCTAACAAATCGATAGATATGTAGGGACTTTGGAACCCCATTTACCTTAAATCGGACGAAAATATATATGGGAGCCAATCTAAATGTGAACCGATTTTCTCGAAACTCGACACACATCATTCTAGACACAATTCAGTATACTACGCAAAATTCAATTCAAATTGAAAGATATATAGGGGCTTTGCCTTAACTCGGACGAAAATATGTATAGGAGCTATATCTAAATGTGAACCGATTTTCTCGAAAATTGGCACACATCATTCTAGACACAATTATATCGAAAGATATATAGGGGCTTTGGTGCCCCATTTACCTTAAATCGGATGAAAATATATATAGGAGCTATATCTAAATCCAAAACGATTTTCTCGAAACTTAGCACATATCATTCTGGACCTAATTCAGTACCCTATGCCAAATTTCGTGCAAATCGAAAGATATATAGGGGCTTTTGTGCACCATTTACATAGAATCGGACACAACTATATATTGGAGCTATATCTAAATCCAAACCGATTTTCTCGAAACTTAGCACATATCATTCCGGACCTAATTCAGTACCCTATGCCAAATTTCGTGCAAATCGAAAGATATATAGAACTTTGGTGCCCCATTTACCTTAAATCGGATAAAACTATATATGGGAGCTATATCTTAATCTGAACCAATTTTCTTGAAACTTGACACACATCATTCTAAACACAACACAGTATACCACGCAAAATTTCGTGCAAATCGAAAGATATATAGGGACTTTGGTGCGCCATTTACATAAAATCGGACTATATATGGGAGCTATATCTAAATCTGAAGCGATTTTCACGAAACATAGCACACATCATTCTGGACCTAATTCAAATCTCTATACAAAATTTCATGCAAATCGCAAGATATACAGGGACTTTTGTTCCCCGATTTACCTTAAATCAGACGAAACTATATGCGGGAGCTGTATCTAAATCTGAACCGATTTTTTTAAATTTCAATAGGGTTCGTCCTTGGTAGAAGTAAGTGACTCGAAAGATATACAGGGACTTTTGTTCCCCGATTTACCTTAAATCGGACGAAACTATATACGGGAGCTATATCTAAATCTAAACCGATTTTCTTAAATTTCAATAAGGTTCGTCATATGTCTATCTCGTTTCCTTTTTGCCTGTTACAAACATATGCACAAAGGCATAATACCATTTTTAGACTCAATTGCTGTAGAGAAGACTATGTATTATTAGAGTGTTCTAGAAAAAATTGAAAATTTAAAAAAATTGAAAATTTAAATTTAAATCCAGAATATCACTTTAAAATTTCAAGTGGAAATTTTAGCAACTCTAGAAGATATAGTCGATTCATTTTGCCTGTATAAAGCGAGGCAGAAGTGCTTCTCAAATTAATAATTACTTCTGAAAGACATAGAGCCTTGAAGTTGATAGTATATCCAAAAAGAGTGGTCGACCTTTAAGTTGATACCAATTATATTGTCGTATGTACTCTGATGTGGGAATTACACTTAAATATTTAAAGGTGCTTACGTATTAAGATATTATTTAGTAACCAATTACCACACTAGAGGGCTGAAATATAGCGCTGATCGCTTTTAAATTTTCCATGAAATTCCAGTTATTGTCAAGAACAACGCATATAACCTTGGTGATGATCAGATAATAATTTCGGAATGAAATGTGCCGAAAACTTTTTTTGTGTTTTTCAATCTATACCCTACAAATATAACCCGAACATCACAACACACACGGCGAATCTGGACATTGACATTGGAATTTGAAGAGATATTCGGAAAATGTGTCAGTGTAAGAAAGAGGTGCTGTTGACCTCTAATCGGGCAAGAGGGTGCAAATATCACGAAAAATTACCCAGGTTCGGAATAAAAATCCGCAGAATGTTAGAGTTCCGTGGCAATTGTGTGTACTGCTCCGCTCTCTGGTTTTCTAACTCGGTTTGTTGTCGAATATTCGCCATTTTGTTAATTTTCCAATGCACTATAGACCAGAATAAATATCGGTCGGCTTTTTCCCGTAGCCCCCATATAACTGTACCCCAATTTTCAGTATATTGTGTACATTGGGAAATTTGGTACATTGGGTTCTTATTGGGTACCATATTTCTCCACTAAAAATTATATATGGGTCCACTTTTTCTTGTAGCCATCATATAAATTTCAATATTTTGGTGTGTTTGAGCTTTTTTTTCGACCGAATTTTCTGCAATTTAGTAGTTTGAATTCTTATTGGGTAGCAAATCTTTCCACTAAAAATTATAAATATAGATCCACTTTTTCGCGTAGCCCCCATATAGCGGTACCTCAATGTTATGTATTTTGGCGTTCTTGAGCAGGTTTTTAACAGAATTAACTGTAATTTGTAGTCGTATTGGGTAAAAAAATCTACCACCTTCCATTCACCAAACATTAGTAAAATTCGTTCATTTTGGTTTACGCTTATTTCACTTATTAAAGTTTTAATTAGATTTGTGAAGTCGGGATATATCAATCTGCCAGGGCATCTTCGTACCTATTGCACCCCTTTCTTAGACTAATTTGTTGGGTTTTATTTGAAGTGTGATTTTTATGTGGAGGAAATCCAAAATTTTTTTATCCTGATTATATATTTGACCAAATATTACGGTTTGTTAAGTTCGGTTGAAATCGTGTTTGCCTCTCGATTCATATGTGTTTACACCATTTCAACATTTTTGTAGGGAGTTACCAGATGAGTTGGGACGATTCTTTATTATGATTTTAATTTTTTTGGCATACATATAAATAAGATTGTTTTGAAATAAACAAAATATTTGAACCACATCTCATTTGGGGCGTATACTTTTATATGCATCTATATTAAAATATATCCGCGAGAAGGTCTATTAACTCTAAATTTGGGACACTTCATTAAGAAAAGGTCAATTACCTAACAAAAACTCTTCCACTATTTGTGACCTATATTGTCAGTTTTCTTGCAGAACCCGGAATGCTTTCTATATGGGACTAAAATAAAAATAGATAGCCAATAATTGTACCTATAATATACATTTTTTACAAAAAAGATTTAACATCCTCACACTCAAAATCTCACATAGGTTAAAATATCCGGATACTTCCCTAAAATTGTACAATGAGTACTATGGACACCAATTAACACGTGTCTAGGACCGAAATGGGTCTAGAATGGTAACAATGTGTCAATCTTAGAGAAAATGTTTTTGTAATTATTTGAATATGACGTATATAATGCATTTTTAATTTGGGATAAACACAAAGACCCATAAGGCAATTGCATTTTCTATATTATAAAGGTTTGTTGTTCTATATTATTATGGCATTGTTTTCAAAAATATTTTGTATCGGATTTTGAAATTATTTTGCAAAAAAATACTCTCTATAAGAATTTATTAAAAATAAGCATATACTACATTTAAGATAAACAAATTATTTATATTTATGCACGTTTAGTATATAACGCAAAATCAAACACGTACGTATGTAAACATATATTTTTATTATATTAGAAGTTTGTGTATAATACATATTTATAATAATTATTTTATACAAACCTTAAAATATTTTCCCCATATAAATATTAAGAAACTCCCATCCTCCAAAGAATAGCATGATTGCCCGTTGTGTATATGCTTTCTTTAAATGAATTAAAATACCCACCTCAAAATATGCATGACATATTATATTTATTATATTCTTGTCCTCTTGATGTTGTTTGTTGTCCATTGAAAATAAAATATATATGACAGTGAAATTTTGTTTGTATATGAAACATTTCAATGACAATTTTGGTAAATCCCAATTTCTTATATATTCTTGTTTCTTCCCCCACCTGCGTACTCGATACGATACGCAATGTTGTTCTGTTTCTTTTGTTCTATTTTCTTTTGTATTAAAAATTTGAAAAAAACAAAACAAAAATATTTGTTATATGCAAACCCTGTAGTCTACCACCAACAACACCTCCACCATTACCAACACCACCATAACCACCTGTATCACCACCACCTCAACCAATACAATTGGCAATGATAGGCTTCAGGCAAACGGAACAAACAATTCATCGGCATCGCATTCAATGTCGACAACCTGTAGTGAAGATGATTTGGAGGAGATAGACGAGGAACCCAGTCACACCGAAGAAGACGATGATGATGATGGTGGCGAGCATAATCCATGCGGCAGACAAGAGGGCCAGCATAGCGACAGTAATAATCGTCTAAATGATAGCTACGATGATGTCTCCTATGATGAATATGATGATGGCTCTTCAATTAATAACAATAACACCACCACCAACAACAATTGCAGTTCAGAACTGCAAACACCTGAAAGTGTTGACAATGATCATCAGGTAGAAGAATTCAATAGGAATATTGGTCAAACGATGTTGTTGCCTGTTTCCCATCGTATTAATTTAGATAATTGTAATGCCAATAGCAACAACAGCAACAATAACAATTCCAGCACTCAATGGCAATATCCATCAACCGTAAATGCACAGCCACCCAGCTTATTATCCCCCAATGCTAATACAGTCATGCATCCGACTATGAATCCCCATAGCATCACTGCCAATATTGTCCCCATCACAACCAACAATCCGGCTGCCACATCCACGTCCATGAATAGCAATAATATAGTTATTACAACACAACCCTTATCATCATTTACGGGCACCACAAATTCCAATAATACAGCCACAATTCCGGCCAATGCCACAGCAGACACACAACAGCATCAACATCACCATCAGCATAATAATTCCCCCATGCAGGACTTGCAGAAAATTGAAAATTTAAATAGCAATTCGAATTCAAATACCAATTTAAATTCTCCCCAAATCCCCAAAACCAGCAGCAATGCATTTAGTTCCACCCCTGGTAGTGGCGGTAAAATGGCAACCAGTGCTGGAGTGAATGTATCGTCAATGCCATCATCATCAACATCGGTAGCATCAGCAATATCATCGCCATCGAATGTGGCAGGAGCGACAACAACAACAACGTCAACAGCAATAGCATCAAATGAAATGCCAAACCCACAAAATCCGTTACAAAATCAAAATCAAAATATTTCCTCCAGTTTAGAGATAATCCTTTCACCAATTATACTAAGTAGTCGACGGTAAGTTTTTAATTTTGTAATTTGGTTCTATAAAGTGTTCTTTCCACCCCCGCCCCAAATCCAGTGTATTTTGAGTGTATATTTTTCTATAAGTGTTTTGTATTTCAATTGTATTTATTCTTAGTTTATATAAAGTATCATAGTGAGTCTATTATGATAATGTCGTTCCAAATGTGAGTTTATTTCAATAGAATTCATTCAGTTTTACGATTACATTCTGCAGTGCCACTTAATTATGAATTGAAATTACTGATTTTTAGTTACCACTAGAAGATTACATAGCTTACTTAAGGTGTATCATTTACATAGAAATATATATGGGAGCTATATCTAAATCTGATCCGATTTTCCCGAAACTTACCACTCATAATTATATACTCAGTTCATTACGGTATGCCAAATGCCGTGCAAATTGAAGGATATATAGGGACTTTGGTGCACTATTTACCTAAAATCGGACGAAAATGTATATGGGAGCTACATCGAAATCTGAACCGATTTTTCCGAAACTCACCAATCATCATTCTAGGCTTAATTCAGTACGTTGTACCACACTTCGTGCAAATCGAAGTATATATAAGGACTTTGGTGCACCATTTACATAAAATCGGACGAAAATATATATGGGAGCTATATCTAAATCTGAACTGATTTTTCTCAATTTAAATAGGGTTTGTCCTTGGGCTAAATAAATGAGCTGTGCCAAATTTCATCCAATTCAATTTATAAATGAGACCTGTACTTTGTTTAGAATTTAACATGGGCAGACAGACAGACAGACGGACGGACGAACGGACGGACGGACATAAATCGACTTAGAAAGTGATTTTTTGCATATTCCCAAAAGGAACCATGTGTCTATCTCGTTTCCTTTTGCCTGTTACAAACATATATACAAAGACATAATATCCTGTACCACAGTGTGGTGAAGGGTATAAAAAAGCGTTAAGTTCAGCCGGGTCGAACCAGGTCCTTCGCCATAGGGAACATACCAAAATGTGTACCTATACCGAAAATTCTGCGAACAGATTTATTTCAATCATAATGTACACCAAAATACAAATTTCAGCAATGAAGATTCTTCCTAACAACCCCAAAAAGTGGAACGATATTGACGACGCATGATCGTGTTGAACATGTGTAAAAAATCCCCATCACCGACGTATACAGGTTTTATTTCGGTTGAATATGAAAATGGTAATTGCAGAGAAAATTGTATGTGTAGGTTTCAAGAGGCTATGCCTAGAGTGGGATCACATTTCTGCATCACAATACATTCGTTTATGCTAAATGTTAAACATACCGAAAATCGATGGGGTATGTGGCGGCTAGTCCTAAATGTGGACCCCCAAAATTGGGGGTATCCTTATATAGGGCTACCCGAAAATACGGACCAATATTTATAATTTTTAGTGGAGAGATTTGCTACCCAAAAATGCCAAATTACAGCGGATTCGGTTGAAAATTTTGCTCAAAACCTCCAAACTACTGAACATTTGGTGGTACCGTTATACTGTACCAAATTTAGAACACAGTAGTACCAATTTCCATAGTACCAATTTCCAATTTCCTGCATATCCCAATCCTACACCCCCACACTGATCCTAAATCCAAGTTTCAGGATTATAACTCTATATGTTCACCCACAATTCAAATTGTACTAAATTTAGTACATAGTAGTGCCAATTTCCAAATCTTCCTACGTACCCCAATCCTACACCTCCACAGTGTTCCTAAATCAAAATTTCAGGATTCCAACTCTTTCGGTTCACCCACAATTCAAATTGTACCAAATTTAGTACACATTAGTACTAATTTCCAAAAATTCCTACATATCTCAATCTTACACCTCAAGAGTGATCCTGACTCCAAATTTCATGATTCTAGCTCTATTGGTTCTACTAAAATTCAAATTGTACCAAATTTAGTACCATTTAGTGCACATACGTATCATTTTCTTAAACTGAATCCCGACCCCAATCCCTCACCCCTACAGTGATCCTAAGTTCAAATTTCATTGTTCCCGCTCTATCCGTTCACCTAAATCCAAACTGTTTCGATTATAATACGATTTAGAACTTTTCGTACCCACAAGTAACAAATTTCTAAAACTACGTTCATATCCCACTCCGTTCACTTTCATATCCCACTACACTCCGACGGTACTATTAATTTCAAATTCCAGCTCGATTTGTATCTCCAAATTAAATTTCTACCAAATATAGTACCATATTGTACTTTTCGTACACATGAGTACACGCTTTCAATACCATCTCCTTAAATGGACCCTACTTCTCAACCATAATTCACATTCAAAAATTCAAGTTTTTAGCCCTATCCGTTCACATGCTACATAATTGTACCAAATTTAGTACATTTTCGTACTTTTCGGATAGTTATAGTTCGAATTTCCAAAACCCTTTTGGTCCATCTATCCTACACTCCATCAACGACCACCAAACCAAATTTCAGAGTTCTAGCTCCACCGGTTCGCCAAATACAAATGGTATCAAATTTAGTACTTTTCGTACGAATTTCCAAAAACCCAGCCTTACATGTCACCTTTGGATCAAGAGTGACCCTCACCCAAAACTTCTAGCTTCAGCCAGTCAGACAATCGCTTTAGCATCACCCAGTCAGTCAATCACTTTACTCTTTTATTAGTATAGATTAAATTTGTACCAAATATAGTACCATATAGTACTTTTCGTACACATGAGTACACGCTTTCAAAACCATCTCCTTTAATGGATCCTACTTCTCAACCATAATTCACATTCCAAATTTCAATTTTTAGCGCTATCCATTCACACGCTACGAATCTGTACCAAATTAAGTACATTTTAGTAGTTTTCGGATAGTTATAGTTCGAATTTCCAAAAACCCTTTGCTATGCCTATCCTACACTCTATCAGCGACCACCAATCCAAATTTCAGAGTTCTAGCTCTACCGGTTCGCCAAATACAAATGGTATCACATTTAGTACTTTTCGTACTGTTCTAGTACGAATTTCCAAAACCCAGCCTTCAGCCAACCCTAGCTTCAGCCGTTTCGTCTGGGCGTTGATGAATCGTTAAATCAGCCAGTCAGTCAATCACTTAACTCTTTTGTTAGTATAGATAATTCGGTAATTTTGAAAGACCAAGCCTTCGGATAAGCACATGGTTTGATAATGTCAATTTTTTGACCTATAACCGGACAACCGGTCCGTCTCGTTTTAGACAATTTTATGAAACATAGTCTTGCATCTCCTAACTTTGACTATTTACCATAATAGCATTAACAGTTTTTGTTTTGTAAATTCTATAAAAAAAAATGTTGATTGAAAATATACCAAACATGTTGCGGCTCCTTATAAACATTTTATATTCTCATATATACCTCCCTATTGAACAAAATTTACAAATTTTATGATGCAACAACATTTTCGTGTTACGGGTGGGAAAAGTCAGAAAATTATGTTCAATTTTCAGTGCTATCAAATTAAGTACATCCGACTTATTTAAACAGGAGGGTAAATAAAAGAAAACAGAAACAAAAACAAAAATATACAAGGTACCACACAAAGTATCCCGTAAACAACACGTGTTGAAAGCCATTGCAAAATGTAAAGTAATGCGCATAATTCAACAAACATTATTTTATTTCACTTTTCAACGGCAGAGCGTCCTGGAAAATGAAAACCTTGCTGTTTTTTCGTGAAACAGGGAAACGCTGAATGGATGATGCCAGATAAACAATACTCTTGAGATTGTGTGTGTAAGCAAAATTCACAGAAACCTATTGAATTTCCTTCATCACGAAAACAAAAGATGAAACCAACTGCGAGTGGTTCTGTTCCAATGCTGTTCTTCCCTTAAGAGTATGACATTTATGTTACCGTCATGGGCAACAATTCATGCATTCATCTATTATTTATAATGATGATTCTTTATCTGTTACATTGTTCTGCGGCGCTTACCATAAAACATTAAATTTAGCGAATTATTATCAAAATAAATACGAAATTGTTTTGCTGAGAGCATTCTGGCTTACGAAATAAAAATTAAGGGGATTTGGGCTCAATAATGTGGGGAAAATGCTTGTAGTGGTTGTTTTCCTTAATAAAGTGGCAGGGTATAATAATAACTTTTCATATTTTATTACTGTTAAACAAATGGTAAATTCCTAAAAAATATTCTCCAATTAACAGTACATTTAAAATAATATAAAATTTAATAAAATATGATTTTTACACAGTATAGCAATACGTTTAGATGGGAATATTAAACAAGGTCCTTAAGATTGCCAAAAAGTATATTTTCTGGCCATCAAAATACTTATACTTGAATATATATACTACGTTGGGGATTTAGATTTCTCATTTTCTTCTAGCTAGCTGGACTATCGAGGAACTCAACAAAAATAAGGTCTATGATGCATATAAAATAGCTATACTTATCTATGTTTAAATAGATTTCAACCCAAACCTGACATGTATATTACAGGCTCAATTCCAAATGCAAATTTCAACACAATTGGAAAAACCTTCCGATTTTTATCCAATTGGAAAACCAATTTCAACAAAAACATGATGTTTTGTTAGGCCCAGGGAAACTTTTTAGATGAGCACCCAAAATGTCAAATTACAGCCAGTTTAGTAAGAAAACCTGTCTAAATCCCCAAAATACCGAGTATATGGGCGAACCGTTATATGGGGGATACATGAATCTTACACATGAACGTGGACCGATATATGCCTTTTGCAATACCAAATATCCTAGGAATACTAGCATTTCATCACCTAAATAG